CCGGTGCCATTGACAGCCGCTTCAGGAGGTTGTAGTTGCTCGAAAGTCCCTGCATGACGTGGGTGACGTACGACGCCGTCGAGTACTGCGCGCCGTCCATCCTGATGGTGGCGAGAATTTGCCTGGCCCGGTTGCAGTAGTCGGTCGCCGTCTCCTCGTCGCCCATACGCAGGTGCGTCAGCTGTCCCTCCAGCTGGGCGATGAACAGGTCGTCGGTGACTTGGTAGGTCGACTCAATGAAGTGCCACGCCTGGTGGCCGGCGTCGAGGTACTCTCGGCACCACTTCAAGGCGATCTGCACGCCCGGCGAGCAGCACCGCGAGATGACCATGAAGGTCAACAACTGCACGGCGCGAAACTCCGCACGTAGGTCGGGGTCGTCCGGCGTCACCACGGATCCTCGGGCAAAGTTGATCAGCCCGGCCATCTCCAGCTGGGGCTCAATGGCTTCCTTCCAGGTGAGAATGTCCTGTCGACCAACGAGCGGCGGGGTGACCAAGATCCTGTCCGGTGCAAACTTGAAGTAGCCATAGCTCGGTGCAATCCCGCCCGCCGTCACTTGGGTCGCCGACATTGGCGACAAACCGCTTCGTCGTCCTCCGACGTCACCCTACGAGGAGCCTGCAGCCGCCGACGACTGCACCCCTCGCGCCTGAACGCCGCCGACTTCATCGGCGTAAATCACACCTCTCTGCCTCGACGTGCCTCCCGCACTGCTGCCGACTTGGCCACCTCCGACGTTGACGCCCACGTCGACGCCGCCTTCGTTGGTCACCGGTCGAGGAGAAGCCGGTCGAGAAGGGGGATGCTCCGTCGCCCACATGGTGCGGAGTCCAGCCTCGACGACCGCCCAGGGTATCGCCCCGTACTCCTGGGCCTCATGGCGTCTCCTCGCATCCTCCAGCCGTCCCTCCAGGGTGTCCATCACCTCTGTGTCAGCTACGCGCACGCTGGGGACTGTACGGCTGCCGGCCTACGAGCAACTTAGGTAAGTCGTGTGCCGTCCACGCTCACCGCACCATGCGGAGATAACTACTACAACGGGATCTAGACTACGGGCTAGGCACGGGTGCTCGTGTGATCTCTGCGTTCGTTGGTCCTTAGTCGTTTTCCTAGTGCACACACTGCTTGCTAGTTCACGGGGCAAGTTGGCAAGAGTTTCACTAGAGAAAGTTGACAACAATGGTACAATGAAGTTGGCATGGCAAGACTACATCAGAGCTAGCATTCAGGTCGGTCGACTGCCAGCGCAGCATGGTCGACCGCGTTCCAGCACGACTTGGTCGACCGCGCTCCAGCAGTGCAAAGTCGACGGCGTGCCAACGCTGCTGGTCGACGGCGTGCCAGCGTTGCTCCCGCAGAACAGCAGCGCACCAGCGTCGCAGGTGCTCGCAGATGATTGGCGTGCTGAGCCTTGTCACCTGCACAGCGCACACACCAAGTCAACCTGGCGCTGATGACTACATCTGATCAGCCACGTCGACCTCGGGATACCACCACCGAGGTCGGACTCGCCAACTTCGCCTGGGCGACCGTCGCACTCCTCCGCAGAACCTCGTCACCCAGGTAACATGGTCGACCGGGCAGCCACGTCGACCAGCTGCTCCTGTATGTGTCCGTCGACCTCCCAAGTCGACGACCACCCCAATTCGACCTCACCAGGTCGACCACGCCCCTGGTCGACCAGCTCCAGGTCGACGTCACTCCTGGTCGATCAGCTCCACGTCGACCAGCACTCCTGGTCGACCAGCTCCATGTCGACCAGCACAGTTGTCAGCCGACCACCCAAGTCGGCTACCCGAAGTCGGCGTCACCAAGTTGACGCCCAACTACTCGACGCCCTGCTGCTCGGCGTCCTGAGTCGAGGTCGACGTCGGCCCCTCCTCCGTCGACCACCAGGTCGACATCACGCCTGGTCGACCAACCACCAGGTCGACCAGCAGTCCTGTCAGCCGACCACCCAAGTCGGCTGCCCCCAAGTTGGCGTCACCAAGTTGACGCCCTCCGCAGGTCGACTTCCCAGGTCGACCTCCCTGAAGTCGGCGCCACCCTGAAGTCGGCGCCCGTGCAGTGACCCCCGTGCAGGTCGACCTCCTCGTCAACCAGCTCGCCCACTGCTGCAGGTCGGCTGCTCCCCTCACACCCGACCACGAAGTCGGCTCCGCCCAAGCGAGGACGGGGCCAACACACAACTCCCGTTGACAGTGACTACACCTAGGTCGTGGAGGTAATTGACACCCACCAGGTTCCTGGAGAACGAGGGGGTGTAGTAACCTGTGAGAAACCCAGAAGGAGCCGCCGGACACGGGAGAGTGGTGGTGCTATGGGCGACTACAGGTCCCACGGAGGGGTCAGCCAAGGCGACAGTGACTGGAGTGCACAGTGGCGTGAGGTCGGTGTAGTCGCGAAAGAATTAGCTGGACGCTCCAGAGTTTAGGGTGAAAGAAAGCTGTGCAGACTGTGGGGTCGCACCCGAGCCAGCGACAAAGGCTGGTGATAGACTAGTGGTAGCTGCAGCTCCCACACAAAGACCCTTAGAGGCGCCTGGACTGGAAGCTACACACGCACCAAGGCTAGAAACACAGGTCTCTACTCGTGTAGCCGAAAAAGGTCATAGACCAGTTAGGTGAGACTCAACTGGTGCAGTAGTGCGTTGGCGAAGACGCGAGGGCCAGTGCGGTGTAATAGCATGAGGACCAAAACTCTCACGGTGGAGGTCGTCGAGGCGACGGTAGAAGCGGGACGCAGAGTGGTCAGGACTCCAGCAGGTGGTGCCAGCACCGGGGCAGTCAGGATCCAGTACCCGCAGGGACCGACGTCGCGCCCACTACTGGCTGAGCTGCTGCTGCGGCCGGTACTCCTAGGACCCTCAGGTCCCCACTGCCGGGGGTGCTGTAGCTGCTGTCGCTGCGGCTGACCCTGCTGCTGCTGCAGAACTCTAGCACACGCCATGGTAGACGCTAGAGACGGCCGAGCGCAGTGGGGAGCGGCTAGGAGCGGTTGCTGGCTACAGCCTATGCTGCTGCTGGTTCTGTTGGGGGCATCCTATGCTGCTGCTGGTTCTGCTGGGGGGCAGCCTATGCTGCTGCTGGTTCTGCCGGGGGCAGCCTACGCTGCTGCTGGTTCTGCTGGGGGGAGCCTATGCTCATGCTAGTTATGGCAGGTCTAGAGGGGTGGGGAGCGGTTCTGGGCGGTTCTGGGCGGTTCTGGGCGGTCCTGGGCGGTCTTGGGCGGTTCTGGGCGGTTATGGGCGGTTCTGGGCGGTTCTAGGCGGTCCTGGGCGGTTCTGGGAGGTTCTGGGCGGTTCTGGGCGGTCCTGGGCGGTCCTGGGCGGTTCTGGGCGGTTCTGGGCGGTTCTGAACTGTTCTGGGCGATCTTGGGCGGTTCTGGGCGGTTCTGGGCGGTTCTGGGCGGTTCTGGGCGGCTGGTGCTGGGGGTGAGCTGCTGCTGGTGCGCTGGGGGCAGCCTATGCTGCTTCTGGCTCTGCTGGGGGCAGCCTAAGCTGCTGCTGGTGCTACTGGCGGCAGGTGTGGCAGCTCGTGGGGAGGCGGGTCTGGCTGGGGCGGAGGGCTACAGGTGAGGCAGCGGGAACGAGTGGGGCGTCAGAACTGGTTGGGGCGGCTGGTTAAGGGTGGGGCGGCAGAACTGGGAAGGGGCGGCTATTCTGGCTGGGGCGGTGGGCTAAGGCAGTGGGAACGGGTGGGGCGTCGGGCTATAGGGAAGGGTGCGGGGCGGGTTGCAAGTGGCGCGGCGCGCAGGCTGCACGGGCTGCTGTGCGAGTGGACGAGCGTGCAGTTGCGCGTACTGCTGTGGGGGCCGTCGCACGCGCAAAACGGGTGAGGCGACGGTAAAACGGGTGGCGCGCGGGGCACGGGGCACTACGAGTCACGAATTGACGGGGCGCTACGGGCTAGGGCGCTTCGGGCTAGGGCGGTTCGGGCTAGGGCAGGTTACCGGGCGGTAGGCCCATGGGATCTTTTATCGCTCTATACCATGTAAGTTACAACAAGATTCGACGTTAACGTCGGAAGGGTTGCGTAGGCGTTATCATTATAGTATTATTAAAAAAAAACAGAAAATGCATTATATAATGTAAAAAAGACAAAATATGCACTTCTTATCTATAACGGGCTTCTAAGTTCCTCTATAAAAAATGCGCTTAGAATTCGTATCCCTTGTGATTGAGTGCTAGTTAATGGGGAACGACTTAAAGATTGATATTTTATTTGTTATTATAGTACGATTTGGGTTTTTCACCTACAACTGATTAGCAATATCACATTACTCTTAGTGGGTTTGTTTCTTTGCGGCTCACCTTGATGTGTCAGATAGATGGATGGCGTGGTCATGCGTGTGTTGTCACGTGATCCTACTTCCAAATCTTGTGTGTGTGCGTTTTTTTTTTTTTTTTATCATGTGCCCAGGTTATGTTCAAATTCGCCCGTGAATTTAGCTTGCAATTCGTCCAATCGTCATACCACTGTACGCTTATTTTTAAAACCGTTTTTTACCTCGTTTTGTCCTGGCAGAAAATTTTCTTGCCAGCGCCACACATTCCCGGCCACCCATTTTCTTGCCAGCACCACAGACCCACCCTTTCTTGAATTTGAGCACCTACCTACTCTACCCTGCTCCCTCTACCAGCCGCTTTGCTGCTGTGCGTATTCCGTTTCCCTTCCAATTCGAACTGCCTACTCGAATTCCTCTTGTACCTGCTCTCTCTCCCATTTTCTACCAACCCACCGTCGCCCATCCCGCAACTATTGCGTTTTACCACCACCTGTCGCCTCTCCCTCTTATCCCGCAGTCGCCCCTCCCTCCTACCCCGCCGTCGCCATTCCCTCCCATCCCGCCGCCACCTCTCACCCCGTCGTCGCCTCTCACTCCCACCCCGTTGTCGCCTCTCCCTCGCTCCCCGCCATCGCCACTATCTCCCACCCCGCCGTCGCCACTCCCTCTTATCTCGCCGCCACTCCCTCTTATCCCGCCGCCACTCCCTCTTATCCCGCCGCCGCCTCTTCTCCAATTCCGCCGCCGCCACTCCCTCCTATCCCGCCGTCGCCTCTCCTCCTCCCTGCCGTCGCCTCTCCCTCCTCCCCGCCGTCTCCTCTCCCTCCTCCCCGCCGTCGCCTCTCCGTCCTCCCCGCCGTCGCCTCTCCCTCCCTCCCGCCGTCGCCTCTCCCTCCTCCCCGCCGTCGCCTCTCCCTCCTCCCCGCCGTCGCCTCTGGCGACAGGTGCACGAGCGCAAGCACGAGTTGGTGCGCGAGGGCGGGTCGGTGCGCGAGCTTGCGTGGGTGCGCGAGCGCTGTTTGGTGCACGAGCACGGGTTGGTGCGCCAGCGAGGGTTGTTTTCTGAGGCATTCTGATTATCAGGTGCGTTCTCGGTCCTTTAATCCTCCCGCCCCCTTCTGAAATTTCCCCTTATATTTTACTTTTCTGCTCGCCTCGTAAATTTTGTTAGTCAATTCGTCTCCTCTTGCATTGCACTTCTATTTAAAGAAGAGGAGCGCGAGGGGGAGCGTGTGCACGGGAGCGCGTGAGAGTGCGCATGCGAGAGCGCGTGCGAGAGCGCGTGAGAGAGTGCGTGATAGAGCGCGTGAGGGAGCACGTGAGAGAGCGCGTGAGAGAGTGCGTGAGATAGCGCGTGAGAGAGTGCGTGAGAGAGCGCGTGAGGGAGCGTGTGAGAGCGCGTGAGAGTGCGTGTGAGAGTGCGTGTGAGAGTGCGCGTGAGAGTGCGCGTGAGAGTGCGCGTGAGAGAGCGCGTGAGAGTGCGCGTGAGAGAGCGCGTGAGGGAGCGCGTGAGAGAGTGCGTGAGAGAGGGCGTGAGGGAGCGCGTGAGAGAGCGAGTGCGCGTGAGAGTGCGCGTGAGACTGCGCGTGAGAGAGCGCGTGAGAGAGCGCGTGAGAGTGCGCGTGAGAGAGCGCGTGAGAGAGCGCGTGAGAGAGCGCGTGAGAGAGCGCGTGAGAGAGCGCGTGAGAGAGCGAGTGAGAGAGTGCGTCAGAGAGCGCGTGAGAGAGCGCGTGGGAGTGCGCGAGAAAGAGCGCGTGACAGAGGGAATGCGCAAGAGATTGCGCGAGAGAGAGCACGTGAGGGAGTGCGTGAGAGCCCGTGAGAGAGCGCGTGAGAGAGCGCGTGAGAGAGTGCGTGAGAGAGTGCGTGAGAGAGCATGTGAGAGAGCGCGTGTCAGAGAGCGCGTGAGAGAGCGCGTGAGAGAGTGCGTGAGAGAGTGCGTGAGAGAGCGCGTGAAGGAGCGCGTGAGAGATTGCATCAAAGAGCGCGTGAGAGAGCGTGAGAGTGTGCGATAGAGTGTGCATGAGAGAGCGCGTGAGAGAGAGAATGCGCAAGAGAGTGCGCGAGAGGGAGTGCGACGGAATGCGTGAGAGCCCGTGAGAGAGCGCATGAGAGATTGCGTGAGAGAGCATGTGAGAGCGTGTGAGAGTGCGCGTGAGAGTGCGCGTGAGAGAGCGCGTGAGAGGGCGAGTGAGAGTGCGAGCGAGAGAGCACGTGAGAGAGCGCGCAAGAGAGCGCGCGAGAGAGCGCGTGAGAGCGAGAATGCGCGAGAGAGTGCGCGTGAGGGAGCACGTGAGAGTGCGCTTGAGAGAGCACGTGAGAGAGCGTGTGCGAGAGTGCGTCAGAGAGCGCAGGAGAGAGCGCGTGAGGGTGCACGTGAGTGCGCGTGAGAGTGCACATGAGGGAGCGCGTGAGAGCGCGCGTGAGAGAGCGCGTGAGAGTGCGCGTAAAGCGCGCGTGAGAGAGCGCATGAGAGAGCGCGTGAGAGAGCGCGTGAGGGGCATGGGAGTGCGCGAGAAACAGCGCGTGACAGAGGGCATGCGCAAGAGAGTGCGCGAGAGAGAGCACGTGAGGGAGTGCGTGAGAGCCAGTGAGAGAGCGCGTGAGAGAGCGCGTGAGAGAGTGCGTGAGAGAGTGCGTGAGAGAGCGCGTGAAGGAGCGCGTGAGAGATTGCATCAAAGAGCGCGTGAGAGAGCGTGAGAGTGTGCGAGAGAGTGTGCATGAGAGAGCGCGTGAGAGAGAGAATGCGCAAGAGAGTGCGCGAGAGGGAGTGCGACGGAATGCGTGAGAGCCCGTGAGAGAGCGCATGAGAGATTGCGTGAGAGAGCATGTGAGAGAGCGCGTGAGAGTGCGCGTGAGAGTGCGCGTGAGAGTGCACGTGAGAGGGCGAGTGAGAGGGCGAGTGAGAGTGCGAGCGAGAGAGCACGTGAGAGAGCGCTCAAGAGAGCGCGCGAGAGAGCGCGTGAGAGAGAGAATGCGCGAGAGAGTGCGCGTGAGGGAGCACGTGAGAGTGCGCTTGAGAGAGCACGTGAGAGAGCGTGAGAGAGCGTGTGCGAGAGTGCGTCAGAGAGCGCAGGAGAGAGCGCGTGAGGGTGCACGTGAGTGCGCGTGAGAGTGCACGTGAGGGAGCGCGTGAGAGCGCGCGTGAGAGAGCGCGTGAGGGTGCGCAAAAAAGCGCGCGTGAGAGAGCGCATGAGAGAGCGCGTGAGAGCGCATGGGAGTGCGCGAGAAACAGCGCGTGACAGAGGGAATGCGCAAGAGAGTGCGCGAGAGAGAGCACGTGAGGGAGTACGTGAGAGCCAGTGAGAGAGCGCGTGAGAGAGCGCGTGAGAGAGTGCGTGAGAGAGTGCGTGAGAGAGCACGTGAGAGAGCGCGTGAGAGAGCGCGTGAGAGAGTGCGTGAGAGAGTGCGTAAGAGAGCGCGTGAAGGAGCGCGTGAGAGATTGCATCAAAGAGCGCGTGAGTGTGTGCGAGAGAGTGTGCATGAGAGAGCGCGTGAGAGAGAGAATGCGCAAGAGAGTGCGCGAGAGGGAGTGCGACGGAATGCGTGAGAGCCCGTGAGAGAGCGCATGAGAGATTGCGTGAGAGAGCATGAGAGAGCGCGTGAGAGTGCGCGTGAGAGTGCGCGTGAGAGAGCGCGTGAGAGGGCGAGTGAGAGTGCGAGCGAGAGAGCGCGTGAGAGAGCGCGCGAGAGAGAGCGCGAGATTGCGTGAGAGAGAGAATGCGCAAGAGAGTGCGCGTGAGGGAGCGCGTGAGAGTGCGCTTGAGAGAGCACGTGAGAGAGCGTTAGAGAGCGTGTGCGAGAGTGCGTCAGAGAGCGCAGGAGAGAGCGTGTGAGAGTGCACGTGAGTGCGCGTGAGAGTGCACGTGAGGGAGCGCGTGAGAGCACGCGTGAGAGAGCGCGTGAGAGTGCGCGTAAAAGCGCGCGTGAGAGAGCGCATGAGAGAGCGCGTGAGAGGGCGCGTGAGAGAGCACGTGAGAGAGCGCGTGAGTGAGCGAGTGAGAGCGCTTGAGTGTGCGCATGAGAGAGCACGTCAGAGAGTGTCAGAGAGCGCGTGAGAGTTCGCGTGAGAGGCGTGTGAGAGAGCGCGTGAGAGAGCGTGAGAGGGCGCGTGTGAGTGTTGACTTCTCTGTTTTTGCTTGTGCAGGGCGCGTGTTGACGTCTCTGTTTTTGCTTTGTGCAGGGCGCGTGTGTGCTAACTTCTCTGATTTTGCTTTGTGCAGGGCGCGTGTGTGTTGACTTCTCTGATTTTGCTTTGTGCAGGGCGTGTGTGTGTTGACTTCTCTGATTTTGCTTTGTGCAGGGCGTGTGTGTGTTGACTTCCCTGATTTTTCTTTGTGCAGGGCGTGTGTGTGTTGACTTCCCTGATTTTGCTTTGTGCAGGGCGTGTGTGTGTTGACTTCCCTGATTTTGCTTTGTGCAGGGCGTGTGTGTGTTGATTTCCCTGATTTTTCTTTGTGCAGGGCGCATGAGCTGAGAAGGGAGATGAGGGAGGGAGTGGGATGGAGATGAGGGAAGGAGGGAGGGAGGGTTGTAGGGAGGGGAAGGTGGGATAGGCCAGCAATCATTTCTGCATTTCTGAATCTTATTCATGACGATTGCGTCTTTATTACGGTCTCTGTATCTATCTGTGCTTGTTTGCGTGTGTGTTAGTGTGTGTTGTGCATGTGCTTATGCGTGTGTGTACGTGCGCGTGTGCGCATGTGTGTTTGTCTGTTTGCACCTGTCTGTCTCGAGGCGTGTGCTAAAGTGACTCGTGTATGCAACTGATGTGTAATGTTAAAGTGTGTCGGGTCTGCATTTGACGTGGGGATCGTTGTTGGGGCAGCGTTGCTCGCCTTAGCATACCGGAACCACCTCTGCTGTAGCACCGATGCATTTTAGCATTCACTCACAGTTGTTTGTGTTGTTTTTGCACGTGTTATACAACTGAGGTGTGATGTTAAAATGTGTCGGGTCTGCATTTGAGGTGGGGATCGTTGTTGGGGCAGCGCTGCTCGCCTTAGCATACCGGAACCATCTCTGTTGTAGCATCCATGCATTATTTTAGCATTCACTCTTAGTTGTTATGTGTTGTTTTTGCACCTGTTCAATGGATGCGCTGCACATGATTTGCGTTCACGTCCAGTGGATGTTTCTCGTCAATTGTGTTTCGTGACGACCGATTGTTCCATTCGCCGTATTTATCGACGATTATGGAATGAAAGGTTACCTACATTTGGTTTCATTTTTGGGGGACTCTTGTGTCAGTGCTTTCGTCATTCCACAACTTTGGAGCACTCGTTTTGAAAATGGTAAAACGAGGGCTTTAAACGTTGGGAAAATGACAAAAACTGCACTGTTCATTCGAGTCGACCGAAAAGTGCTACCAAATGTATAGGGTTGCTACACAACCCAAAAATGTACGAATTACTAAGGAAAGTGAAACAAGCAAGATATATATGACCTAACCCTCTCCCTATGAGATATGAATGGAACACCTAGACTAACCTAAACATGTAAAATATAAAATATAAAATATAACATATAAAATGTAAAATATAAAATATATGTTGACAGACTAGCCTTGTGGCCTCTTGCGTGGGGCTGGACTGATAGTGCCGCCTTGAATTGTTTCTCATCTTCTTGGCATTGCCTCATACCTAGCCTAGGGGGTGTGCCAAAGTACACTTATACATTTGTAGGTGTACATTGTTAGGCTAGGTGGGTTATATTGTAGAGGGTATAGATTGCTACATATACCCCTCAGTATGTTCTCTTTCAATCATTTTTTCTCTCTTTGACAATGTACGCTGGGTGGGTAGTGTCAAATGTTGTTATTTGTGATAGGCTGTAGTGAGGTGCTCCTTAGTAAATACAACTCAGTTAGGGTTTGCTATTTGTATCACCCACATTCCTAATCCCACAATTCCGTTGCATGTTACTCTTAAGATGGTATCAGGTAGGTTCGACTCCTAGCCTTGCCTCGCCTCGCCTAGCCTAGCCTAGCTCGTGTTCGCGCCCTCCGCGCCCTAGCGCCCTCCGCGCCCTAGCGCCCTCCGCGCCCTCCGTAACGCGCCCTCCGCGCCCTCCGTAACGCGCCCTCCGTAACGCGCCCTCCGTAACGCGCCCTCCGCGCCTCCGTGCCTAGCCCTCCCCTCCGCGCCGTCAGCGCCCTCCGCGCCCTCCGATCGCGCATCCGGGCCCTCCGCGCCTAGCCCGCGCCTTTGCGCCCTTCCCTAGCCCGTCGCGTAGCCCTTTCGCCCTGCACCAGCCCGTCGCGTCGTCCGTGCGCCCTGCCCCAGCCCGTCGCGTCGCCCGTGCGCCCTGCTCCAGCCCGTCGCGTCGTCCGTGCGCCCTCCCCCAGCCCGTCGCGTAGCCTTTGCGCCCTGCCCTAGCCCGTCGCGTAGCCCTTGCGCCCTGCCCCAGCCCGCCGCGTCGCCCGTGCGCCCTGCCCCTAGCCCGCGAGTAGCCCGTGCGCCCAGCCTCTAGCCCTTCGCCCGCCCCGTACGCCCTTACCCCGCCCGTTGCGCGCCTACCTTGTACCCAACCGCGCGCCCCGCTCCTACCGTTTTCGCCACCTCCCTCCCAATGTTCCCCGGGCCCACACCATTCCAGCCACCACAGTTTGTCCTCTCAGCGGCTGGCAGCCGCTTTCATCTCTGGTGGCCCGAGCTAGAGCTGGATCGCGCGTAGCTCCTAGCCTTTAGCTCCTAGCACAGGCCTCTCCGTGTTTATATTTTCACCGTCCTTCCCCTGATGCTCCTAGCTGTTTCACTCATAGCTTCTTGCTCCGTTCGCTCCGTGCTCCAGCCGTGCTCCGATCGTTCCTCGCCTAGTTTCACCTGGCGCTCCTAGTTGTTGTTGCTCCTCGCTCCAGCCGCTCCTTGAGCCCACAGATCCTAGGCTGCCGTTTCTAGCTCTGGTCGTGTCACACTCCACCCATTCCTGCTCCGGTCCCTCCTAGCCTGCCGCCCCTGCACCATGCTAGCCGTTACCATGGCGTCCGCTCGCGTTCTCCAGCAGCAGGGACAGCAGCAGCGGAAGTTTCAGCAGTGGGAACCTCAGCAGCAGTGGCGCCCTCAGCAGCAGTGGCGCCCTCAGCAGCAGTGGTGCCCTCAGCAGTTGTGGCGCCCTTCGCAGCCGTGGGGGTCTGGTGGTTCGGGTAGCGGTGGCTGCAGCAGCGGCCCAGCCAGCTGGGGGGCTCGTCGCGGTGGCCGCGACGTCGGCCCCTGCCAGTACCGGATTCTGACTGGCCCTGGTGCTGGCACTACCTGCTGGCGTCCTGACCACTCTGCACAGCGCTGCTACAGTCGCCTCGACGACCTCTACCTTGAGCGTTTTGGGCCTGAGTCGCTTCCACCGATCTGGCCCGGTCTGTCTCGTAGTGGTTACCCTGTGTTTGATATGTCTATGGATGCTGCTTATTCAGTCACGTATGGATCTCTTGGCTTGCGTGTACCTAGCTTAGGACCTTTGCCTTTTGCTAGTGTCGGTACTTGTGCTTTTAGTGTAGGTGCATGTGTAGTCACTAGTCCTGCAGTGACGACTGCTGGCGCGT